TTACATTCATAACTAAGTAATCCTTGCTTAATTTAATACACTCAATATGTTTTGCTGCTACTGCATTAGTTGGTCTGTTACAAACACGGTCCTGCTGTCATAATTACTCACAACATTAGTTACTCACTATGACGTTTGCTTACAACTACAGTGCCCAGCTGTTTAAGGATATCCCCTTAGCCTTTTTAAATAATGAAAGTATACATTTGTGACCCACTTTTGAAGATTTATGTCTTCAATAGGAACCAATGGGCTCTTGGTGAGAGCTACATACAGGGTAGGGAAGTTATTGTGAGACGGACTAATGAATTGTGTGGTTTTGGTCTTCTTATGGGATTTGTTAATGATGAGAAATATAAAAGAACGCCACCATTATCCTTTAAAAATGAATTATATTACTTACATAAACTGTAAGTTAATACAACACTTGATATGTTATCATTTCTCTATTTTCTGCCCCCATCTGCTTGGAGGTCAGAGGTCACAGTCGACCACAGGACTCAATTCCCTGCACAAGGACAGTGTTTTGGATGTTTGCCGACAAGGGAGTCACAGCTCAAAGATTCCAGCTTTCTAGGACACCCCGCTGTCCTCCAAACAGAAGAGAGTCAAGAGAAGCATGAGAGAAGTTTTTGTGCATTCCCTTTTCTTCATCATTATTTTCTTAAAAATCAGAATAACCTACTTGATTTTTTTCTTTCTTTTCTAACAGCTGCTTGTGTTCCAGTTCATCTGCAGTTCAAGCAAGCTCCGTGATAAATGGGCCCCATTGAACAGTGGGTAAAAAAACTATTTTTGAGGCGTGGGGTTTCACAGTAAAAGAAACAACTACAGCAGAGGGACGGAGAAGGATGAAGGATGAATGTTGTTATGTCTTGTGCGGAGGAGGGACGGCCAAAGCAAGCAGGAGCGTAATTTACTGCCGGTCCCTCACAGGGAGTCCATAACTCACAGGACACTCATGGCCTCATGGCGTCTGTGGGCGTTTCCTTCAGGACAGTGTTTTTAATTTTCACTAGCTACGTATTTATTTATTTTTTTTGCAACTTAAAGGGGATTACAGACAATTACGTGTTCTGTAAATACAGTTATGTTTTCCAGGAATCTCAGAAAAATTATCGTAATGGAGTCAGACATGTGCTCAGATCCTTTACTTAAGGAAAGTAACAATACTACAGTGTAAAATTACTCTGCTATGAGTAAAAGTCCTGAAAGACTCAAGTATTTTTATTTAAATGTATTTAAAGTGTCCAAGGTAAAATTAATTTGATCATTTTTAGTGATGCATTCACATGTATGCAGCATTTTAATGTTATAGCAGGTGGAGGTAATTCTAACTATTTCCTATACTCTTTAAGGCAGTAAAGCAATACATCATATTTATGATATAGAGCTAAGACGAATACTTTATCAACAGAACATTAATCAGCACCTATTTTAATAATGATTCATTGTCATATTTCAATACAATTCTCAACTATTCTCTGGTTTCAGCTGAGGATTAGCTGCTTTTAAATCATTATAAACTGAATATCTTTGGGTTTTAATTCTATGATGCATTTTTAACTAGACCACATGATTAATTGATTCATTAAAATAATGGTTGTCAGATTAATCTACAAGTAAAACAAATGTGAGTTGCAGCTCTAATTTATAAAATCTTGATTTGTAAAGTAACCATAGCTTTCAAATAGATGTAGTGGAGTAAAATGTATAATATATCCCTCTGAAATGTAGAAGTATAAAGTAGAAGCATGAAATGAAAATACAAATATTTAAAAATTGGGATTAAGTACAGTAATTGAGTACTTTGTTACTTTCCACCAGCGTACAGGTTGAGCTCACCTTGTCATTATGACCGATGATTTCTTTACATTCCTGGCAGGTCTTGGCGTACAGGCGGTCGTAGCAAGGGATGCAGTGAGGCTGTTCCTCCACCTGGATGTATTTGCGTCCGCACAGGGACTCGTTGCAGTTTTTGCAGTCGAACCGGTCACTCATTATGTCTCTCTCTGGCTGACCTCCTGCAAAACAGAGAATTCACAGGCACAGTTTAGCTTTCACTATCAGTGAGAAGACAGCGCAGGAAGGAGGAGGAATGAGATTAGCAAGACAGAGAGAAAAAACAGTAAGAAGGGAGGTTGATAGTTTTTGGATATACAGCTGGGAAAAAAAAAACCAGCAGAATATTTTAGAGCACAAGTGCTTTTTCATGTAGTCAAAGCTTTATAGATCGTAGGAACTAAAAACACACTAAAAGCAGAGGACGGTGTACACAACATCAAATCAAACATTAAAAGAAGGTGAGTTTTGAGTAACTTCTTCACAGATGGCTGCAGTCATGGATGTGTTTGTGGATAGAGTTCCCCAGGGAGGAGGGCAGCTATGGAAAAGGTTTGGTTGCTTTATTCCTGGAGAGTGGGAACAGGAGGTTTGTCGTCAGAGGAACGGACGCTTTGGGAGGTGGAGAGGGAAGGTCTGTGAGGTTGGACGGGTTATGGAGGGCTTTGTAAGTTAAGACAAACAAGCTTGGAATTAATTGTGGGACAGGGAGCCCAGTGCATGCTCTTTAGGACATGGGAGTGAGTGAGCAGGCGAGCAGCTGAGTTTTGGACGTACTGGAGTTTATTTAGGACTAATATTGGCTGCATCCCTTCGG